AAGGCCTGATGCATTCTTAACTCAGGTCTCCCTAGCCCCATAAAAAAGGCAACTTCATGACTGTTTTCATACAATGATGCTATTCTTTCTGGGTTTTAGGCTGTGTATTTGCAAGAATTCACTTTGGTATCTGAGTAATACTTTTCTTGCAGTGCATGGGAAAGTGTAGCATTCTCCAAATGGACATTTGGAGCTGTTAATGTTACAGGACTGATTTGTCCTGTGAATGTGCCTGTCTCCTTCCATTGACTGGAGGGGGCTGAGAAGACCAGTCTCTCAAGGAAGACCCCTTAAAAAACTGCCTGCATTTAGGCATTGTCAATACAACTTGCATGTTGCATGTAAGAGTTGTTCTGTTCTGTTCTGTTCTGTTAGTACCTTGTAGTTCAAAAACGTTTTGGGGTTGGGGTGTTTTTACCTTTTCCAGGTATGGGACATCGGAGGGCAGCCAAGGTTTCGAAGCATGTGGGAGCGTTATTGCAGAGGAGTCAACGCAGTTGTGTAAGTTTTCTTGTGTATGCCCATACAAAACGTATTTTAAAAGAGATATTATTAATATAGATATGCTTTTCTTCCTGTACACCTCCATCACAAAGAAAGACCCAACACGATAAAAACAGTGTGTTTTATGCATCCAGCAACCCAGATATATAAGTAATTGCATGTCCCAGGTCATTTTTTCCCCACATCTCTCATTTAATTCTGTATCTTCCTGTATTAATAAATGCAGGGCTTATACAACACAGGACTCTTCTAATGCTGTTGTCAATGCGAACACATTTGTCACATTTCAGATGTTTTAATGCAACTTTCTGCAAGTAATGGACAATACCATAAATGACTATATTCCCATTGCAGTTACATGGTGGATGCAGCAGACTTAGAAAAAGTAGAAGCTTCAAAGAATGAACTACACAGTTTGATAGATAAGCCACAATTGCATGGAATTCCAGTAAGTGTTTTGATTATTATTCTTACCTGAACGTAGACATTGTAGCCTAAATCCTTATGAATTGGTTCCTTTGGAGCCTTGAAAATACTAGCTTAAATATCATACAGCCTTGATACATTGAATGCTCTTATAAAAATTATTGTGACATTTTTTCAGAGGACTCAGCATCTTATCAGTGCTGCAGTGTGTTTGTACGTTTTCTTATCTAAAGGTCAGAATAGATTTGGAAAAAATTCATTTTCACACGTGGCATTATCAGACAGTAATTACTTCCAGTTAGTCCCCTTGTTGGCTGGGTTTGAACCAGTGACCCAGGTATGTTTCTGACGGTATCTTAAGGCATGTGAGATTTGTCTTTCTGAAGGTTGGCAGACACTAACATCAAATAGTGTCCTCTGCTTCCAGAGATTGTGGAGGAGTTTGACTTTTTGTTTCCTGACTTTTTCTTTTTCTTGACTTTTTAGTTTTTCAAACTTAACTGTGTGGAAAAAATGCAAATATGCATCTGTCCTCCAGTAGAAAGTTTCAAAGAATAGTATATTCTGCTGAAATTCTAGTGAGGAATTAATGGAGGTGGAGACTAATGTTTAATTAAATGTAATCTGCCAATTTAGACCTAGTAGGAATCCATCAGGTTAGATTGATCTTTGATGCTGACATCACCAAGCAAGAGTTCATACCTTTGATCATAAGAAAGAAAACAATGGTACATACCAATCAGGAAGAAGTTACTCACAATTTGATGGTTCTTGCTTGGCCCCTTTTTTGTAAGCAAATGTTTGGACACTTGGCCAGTGCAAGTGATCTAAGTCATCTGAGGATGAGTAGACAGACAGCCAACATGAAATCATTGTGAGAATGAAGTTCTCGGACATCCATTCTTGAAGGAGAATTTTTCAAGTGACTCTCCATCTTTTTTGTAAGGTTTGCTATTATTGTTGCATTTTCATATGTTAAGTACATATTGAACAAATCCTACAGAAATCTATAGTCGCGCTTCATGGCGAGTGACATTGTCTGTCCTTTGTACTGTCTTCACATCCTGTTTTACTTCTCACTTTCCCTTCCTGAAATGATAGATCTCTCATATCTTCAGAAGTATTTAATTAAGTTCCTTTCCTTTTATATGTTACAATATCACATTCCAATTGCCCAGCCTGACCAGCACAGTAATTTCCAAGGTGCAGTAATGTATTTTTTACTTACTTTTATTTCATAGGTAGTAACCAGTATTGAACTTCCTTCAATTTATTGTATTCAGGCTTTGGCATTATAGATTTTAAGGTAGTTTTATTAATCTGAGGCTGCAAGTAATGAGTTTTAATGCGTTCAGGTTCATGGAAAATAATGGGACAGTCTTGACTCAGAATTGTAATGCATCTGGAAAACAATAATGCAATCATAATTAGAAAAACCTTCCATTGCTTACTTTATCTTAGAATGTGCTTAACCCATTTATCTGACCTTAATTGAAGCCTTAAGTATTGCATAGGAACTCTTACGTTCCAGCATCTATTCAGTAAATTTTCTGCATTTCTCAGACTTAATTCCTAATGGCTACCTTTCTGATTTCTATCATGGATGCTCAAAGTGGAGGGAGAGGAATCAGTCATTTGGCTGGTGCTTGGGTGAGATACAGTTTGGATGCCTGGCTGTTTAGTATGTCAACGTTAAGAAGCAGGGGAGCAAAACTGTAGAGAGAATGATGTCTGGATCATGAGAACCCAGCTTCTACTGCTGGGGCCCTACTTTTGATTAACATTAGTCTGGTCCTGTGAATTGAATGTCTGTTGGTGGCTTGAGCGTATCTGCTGAATGCTGTCCTCCAGGTTTAGTTGCATGCAATCTGACATCATCCCATAATGCCATCCAGAATGGAGAGATTCACTTTCAGAGGAGACTTCTGATACTGGTACACCCAAAAATAATTGGATCCAGTTTTCAGAGGATGTGCATTCAGCATCTCACCCTGACTAGGGGAAGGATTTCCATGATGCTCCTATACTCACTGGTCATTTTGAATATGTCCGCTATTGCATTCTAAATACTTAGCTGCAAGATCCAAAATAATGCCAACAAATGGTTAAAGACAAAAATAAACTTTTATTGCTCCTGGATTTAACATGAATATGAATAATTTCTTTCAGGTGTTAGTCCTTGGAAATAAAAGAGACCTCCCAGGTGCACTGGATGAAAAGCAGTTAATTGAGAAATTGTAAGTATCTGGCCCGTGTAGAAAGCTGAGACACTGTGAAATTTGATATGTAAGAGAAAATTGTTGGTAGTCTATGGCAATAACCAGCTATAACAGATTCCATTTTACATTCTCAGATACTCCACTTTGAGCTCTGCTGGCAGCTGAAATAGAAATCTAGGCTGATAACTGACTGCAGTAGATTTGAACCTCTCTTTATTATTTCAGTTGTATAAAGTTGTTTCAGATAACCCTGTTTTCCCATCACTGAACATACAACTGCTATAGGTAGTAATAGGCTCACTTACACTCTTCAGAGTACATTGTAGTGGCAGTTTAATGCTCGAATGGTATTAAAACAGAACCATTTCAAACTACTGTCAGTAAATTTAAGCAATTCAAATATTTTTGGCATGTATCCAAAGCATATACTTATGGATTACTGAAACTAACTTAAATTGATGCATTGCAAGGGTAATTGTAAAGGAAACACACAATTTTGTAAAAATGCCCAGTATAGCACTAATTTTGCAGAATAGGATTCTATGTCTCAAATCACATAATTTAATCAGTAGGAAGTGAAGTGAAGTTTCAGTATAGAAGGATGTCCAAAGGCTAAGCAACTAAACTGGGACTTAGGAAACACAGAATGGCTGAGGTTGGAAAGAACCTCTGGAGGTCATCTTGTCCACCTACCTGCTCAAGAGCCACCTAGAGCTGTTTGCCCTCGACCGTGTCCAGCTGGCTTTTGAATATCTCCAAGGATGGAGACTCTGCAACCTCTCTGGGCAACCTGTGCTAGTGCTTGGTCACCCTCAGAGGTAAAAAGTGTTTCTCTATGTTCAGAGGGGGCCTCCTGTGTTTCAGTTTGTGCCCATTGCCTCTTGTCCTGTCAGTGGGCTCCATCTTCTTTACAGCCTCCCTTCAGATGCTTGTACACTTCAATAAAATCCCCCCTGGGCCTTTTCTTCTCTAGGCTAAACAGTCCCAGCTCTCTCAGCCTTTCCTAATATGTGAGATGCTCCAGTCCCTTAATGATTTTAGTGGCCCTTTGCTGGACTCTCTCCAGTAGCTTCACATCCCTCTTGTGCTGGGGAGTCCAGAACTGGACAACAGCACTCCAGGTGTGGCCTTGGCAGTGCTGAGTAGAGGGGAAGGATCACCTCCCTCAACCTGCTGTCAAAGCTCCTCCTAATGCAGCCCAGGATACCATTAGCCGTTTTTGCCTCATTGCTAGGTTATGTTCACCTTGGTATCCACCAGGACCCCCAGGTCCTTTTCTGCAAAGCTGCTTTCCCAGACAGTCGGCCCCCAGCATGTACTGGTGCCTTGGGTTGTTCCTTCCCGAGGGCAGGACTTTGCACTTCCCCGTGTTGAACTGCATGAGGTTCCTGTCAGCCCATTTCTTCTGCCTGTGGAGGTTCCTCTGGATGGCAGCGTAACTCTCTGGTGTATCAGCCACTCCATCCCAGTTTTGTGTCATCAGCAAACATGCTGAGGCTACACTCTGCCCTATCATCCAGATCATTGATGAAGATGTTGAAGATTGGACCCAGTATTGATCCCTGGGGTATGCTGCTAGTTACTGGCCTCCAACTAGCCTTCGTGCCACTGATCACCACCCTCTGGGCCCGACTGTTCAACCAGTTTCTGGTCCACCTCACCATCTGCTCATCCAGCCCATACTTTCTTACCTTGTCTATGAGGATATTATGGGAGACAGTGTCAAAAGCCTTCCTGAAGTCAAGGTACACAATATCCACGGCTCTCCCCTCATCTACCAAGCTGTAGATTTCATTGTAGAAGGTTATCGAGTTGGTCAAGCAGGATTTCCCCTTTGTGAATCCATGCTGACTACTCCTGATCACCTTCCTGTCTGTCACGTGCCTGAAAATGGTTTCCAGGATTAGTTGCTCCATCACGTTCCCAGGGATCGAGATGAGGCTGACTGTCATGTAGTTCCCTGGGTCCTCCTTCCTGCTCTTTCTGAAGATAAGAGTGACATTTGCTTTCCTCCACTCTTCAGGGACCTCTCCCAGTTGCCATGGTCATTCAAAAGTTATCGAGAGTGGCCTCATAATGACATCAGCCAACTCCTTCATCACTTGTAGGTGCATCCCACCAGGGCCCAGGGACTTCTCTATGTCCAGTTTGCTTATGTATTCCCTGACCTGATCCTCTTCCATCAAGGGTACAACTTTCTTGCTCCAGACTTTCTCCCCGGTCTCTGGGGCCTGGGATTCCTGAAGGCTAATCGTGCTAGCAAAGGTGGCATTCAGTACTTCTGCCTTTTCCATGTCCTGTGTAACCAGGTCCCCTGTCGTTAAGCAATGGGCCCACATTTTCTCTTGTCTTCCATTTGTCCCTTATGTACTTACAGAAGCCCTTCTTGTTGCCTTTGACATCCCTCACGAGATCCAATTTCAGTTGGGCTTTGGCTGTCCTAACTGTGTCTCTGCATGCTTGGACAATGTTTCTGTATTCCTCCCAGGTTAGCTGTCCCTGCTTCTACCTTCTGTATGCATTTTTTTTTGTGATTGGGTTTTGCCAGGAGCTCATCGTTCATCCACTTAGGCCTCCTGGCTTTTTTTCTGGACTCGTTAGGATGGGCTGCTCGTGAGCTTGGAGATGATCCTTGAATATTAACCAGCTTTCTTGGGCCCTCCTTCGCTACAGGGCCTTATCCCATGGGGCTTTTCCAAGCAGATCCCTGAAGAGGCCAAGTCTGCTCTCCTGAAGTCCAGGGAAGTCACTATTTAGTTGTCTTCTTTTTTGGAGTCTCTTGAGTGATCTCGAGTCTTTCCTTCTCGGCACCTCCACTCCCCATCTGCTCCAGGAATGTAATCTGTTCCTGCATGTCTGTGTCACTTGTGTGAGGATAAATAAATGAGAAAATAACAAAGTGCTCAGAAACTCTGAGGGGGATAGGGAAATTCCCAGGAAGAAACAGAAGTTAATTAAGAATCAGTTTCTTCCTAAATGTAGAGGCATCCTTGCAGTAGGAATCAGAGCTGATATATTTAAGTATGATGCAGTAAACATCCTGAAGATTAATGGTGTGATCATTTGAGTACTGTTATTTGATCATAAGAGTTATTAGAGATAAAAACTCTGAATTCTAAGTGAAAAGAGTAAAAGGTGAATGGTAAGACATGGTAAAGTTACTTGCTTGCCACTACAAAATGTTATTTTCAGCTCATGGATTTCTGTGTTTTTATTATTCACTACTACATTGACTTAATGAGAAATTTGAATTTTTGTGAAATGACTTTATAACTGTTTAATTTTTATAGTTTAAGAAATATGGGATGTTTGTGTGCAGTAGCCTATTTTAAAAATTTAATATCTGGGGATAGAATTGAACCCACTGAGTAAAAAGCAGTAATTTAGTGGAAATTTCTGTTGTCAGTTTTTGTGGAGTTATAACACTGCGTATTTTATTATTTTTGTTTCTGTAGAAACCTTTCAGCTATTCAAGACAGAGAAATCTGTTGCTATTCTATTTCCTGTAAAGAGAAGGATAACATCGGTAAGCTTCTTTTTCTTACAGCATCATCAGTGTATACTTTGTACTTTGGATCAGATGTTAAAAATGTTAATGAGGTTTGAATAACTCCAATATATGACTGAAAATCTCAATTTACTTGGAAAGATTTTGTTGCAAATATTGCATGCAATTGTATTTGTTTTAACATAGAATTATGTGTAATTTAAAAGTCACTTGTAGAATTATTTAGTTCCACGGGAAGTTAAGAAATTAATGTGACAGGGGTCTTGGAAAAGCATATTTAAAACCTAAAGTGGTTGAATCCCCCACAAAAACTGTGTTACTTTTGAAAAAATAACAACTGGATATGAAGGCCTTCCAATTATTAGGTGATACTTAAAAAATTTTGGTAAGTGTTTCGCTCCATACACGATTTTACTTTGAAGCAGGCCTTACATGCATGTGGCTGTGTGGCGGTGTTCCTCAAACTGAGGGATTAGTGCTCTTGTCCTGCTGGAGACACAAGGAGTGTATTCTGAAGTCAGTGAGGACCTATAAAAGCCCCATGAAGTTGTCTTCCATCTGCCTTTGCTTTTTGCCCTTTTCTCTCTCTCCCCCCTTTCTTCTACTTTCCTGTCCCTTTCCTCTGTCATGTTCCCCCCTTCCTTTCCCTCCACAGGGCAGGAGAAAGGGGTGAAGCACGGGCTGAGCCAGCAGCAGCAGTTGCCCGGGGGCATGCTGCCTCTGTGCCACCCTTCTGCCTTGCACACTGCTAAGGCAAGTGGTGCTGGATGGGAGGGATACAGCCTGGGTAGATATTCATAGCTGCTTCTTGAGGAAGCCAGACTCAGTAGAAGAGCTGGGCAGCTCTGTAGGGCTCAGCTGAATGAGAGATGGGAGTGGGAATGGGAGGAAAGCCAGTTTCTCTCAGCAGCAGGGGAAATTTCCATCCTAGGCAGAGAGAACCAGATAGTGGAGGTAGTGAGGAGACTATGCCATGACACCTGGGCTTCAGAGAGCGGGCGGAGATTTCAGCTGTGTGCAGGGACGTGTTAGGCAGTGAGGGCTTCTCTTGGAAATGGTGTACGTGATTTGGGTACATTGGTTTGAAGGAGACCAGACTCAGATTTGCTGTAGCTTGGGGTGCACCAGTTATCTCTGAGTGAGGGAAATACACACAATGTAGTGTCACACTGGGGAAGATTAGACTTTGGGTTGTAAGGACTGAGGAAGGCAACATAGTCAGGATTATCTGCATAGGTGAAGGGCAGTGAAGGTGATTGAGGTTTTAGAAATGCAGTGCTTGATCCTCATCAAATTGGGAAGGCTGCAGTGGAGGATCTCAAAAGTGGTATTGTGCTAGAAACTGGTAAAAACAACTTAATTTCTGAAACGATCCTGGAGAAAATAGTTTTTGATCCTTGTTCATTTATATGGATGGCCTGGAGCAGAAAAGCATGCAAAAAAAGCATGCTAAAATTTGCAAACGGGAATATAATGAAAAGAATGATCACTAATGCAGAACTGTGTAGATCACTTACTTGTGGAAGTCCTGGGAGTAGTGATGAAAAAGGCTCAAATCCTAACTGAGAATCATTCAAGTATCTTCCAGTGTAACATTGTGCCTAGGAAGGCTAACCTGGTTCCTGAATATTTGCCCAAAGAAATAACAAGTGGGAGCAGACTGTGTATATCATGTGTGTTTGGAACTGTGTGGGCATTACTGGAGCACTGTGTGCCGTATTTTGAGGAAGACCTTGAGAAACTGAAAAGAGGTTGCGCAAGAACCTAGGGAGATCAAGGGACTGGAAAATATCACCTATAATGAAAAACTATAATGAAAATATGTTTAGATTATTAAAGTGATGAAACTACTAGGCTGTTAAGGAGAAGACTGGGAGCTGTCTTCTTCCTCTGCATTTTTTGATTGATGTCAGTGCAGTTGAATGAGATGGTAGTCATTTTTCAGTGCAAACTGCAGCCTAGCTAGCTGGTCTCATCAGGAGGTGTAGGTGTAAGGCTGCCAGTTTCTGTGTCCTGAGAGACTGTGGAAGATTAGTATATAGTTATTAGCTTTGTTTTAGATGCCGTGGGATGCTTTTTTCTGCAGTTTCAGTGCCTAAGTTGGTCTGCCAGGATATTCATGGAGTGCTGTCTTGAACTTAGGACAGATGTGGCAACAAATTTAAATTTGAGGACTAGAGCTGTTGCTGCCCCCTGACATCCTTCCTACCTCCCTGACAGATGTTACCGCCTTGAGGCAAAAACATCTAATCTGCTCATGAATCAGTTTGTGAACTGCTGCAGTTTTTAGCCCAATGTATTAGATTGTATCAGGAGGGGTATCAATTTCAGCTATCAAATTTTAGTCCAATGTTGCGTGTCTTTCAGAGACCTTGGACTCCTACAACCTACCTAAATGGCTTCTTAATGCTTTGTCAGATGTTTGCCCTTCTCTTTCCTTCTGGTTGTGTATTTCTGCCTTTGTTCTCACACTGCATTTCATTCTAGTCTGGATTTTAGAGTTCATTTTATGGTCATCTTAAATCTTTGCTTTTCCAACAGTTCTTCATCTGTGGCTTACAGAACTTGATGTCAGTCATCATATTTCAAGAATATAAAATGTGCATAATTTAAAAACAAACAAAAAACAACAGAAAAAACCCCTACCTGGAGTTTTAAGTACTGGATTTTTAATTAGGTATAAATGAGAGCCTGTGGTTTCTGGCTTTTGTTTGTTTGGGGTTTTTTTATTTGTATTAACCTGCTGGTGTTCTGTTGTCCTTTTATACTCTGCAAACAGGCTGTTTAGGTTTTCATTTTGTTTTATCTGTCCTGGCAGACATAACATTACAATGGCTTATTCAGCACTCCAAATCAAGACACTGTTGAAGAAATCTTTTGCTGAAGA